CCCGCTGGGTTCATTTATTTGTGATGAGGATGAATTTATGACAATACAATAAATTTTTACCATTAGACTATGCGTACCTTGAAATTTTCGACCTTACGCCCGGTGGTCCAACATTGAACGTCCTATAGCTCAAAAAGTGTGGATATTAGAAAAAAAAGTTTTAAACAAAACTTGTAGAGATTAAATGGATCTTTAAAAATAGATGCATTTTATTGATTAAACTAATATTTTAAGAGTTATCGGCCGAGATAGAAGAACCGGTTAATTAAATGGGTCATAAATCGTAAACGGTAAGTTTTGCAAAAAAAAATCAGGAAACAAAAGATGCGAAATTTCATTTTTCTACAAAAATTGTTTCAATAACTTTTGCCCTAAAGCGCATACTGAATAGTTTCCGAGATATCGACCAAGAAAGTTTTTTTCAAGATGGCGCATGAAGCTCCACTGGAAACTGTCAACATTTTTTGTTTTTATACTCAGTAAGTGATCCTAAACCTTATAAAACAAAAAATGGGTCGGAAATTTAGTGCAAAGTTAAATTCTATTTTTACATACAAGTATATGGCAGTGATTTTGAAAACTTGATTAAAGTTGAACTTCTACACAATTCTTATTTTTTTTGAAGTTTACTCATTAAGAATCAATTTTGATATAATGTCTCTGTTATGGAAATTTTATGAGGAGTGAAATTAACATAAGCGTTAACTCAAAAGCGTTACATTTTTTGCGCAACGTACCTTGCTCACCTTTTTTATAATATAATATTATATTTATTTATTATATTTATTATTAAAATTTTAAATTTTTTATAATATAAAATATATTAATTATTTATATATATTTATATATATATATATATATATATATATATATATATATATATATATATATATATATATATAATATTATTAATTTAATTTTAATAATAAAATTAAATATTTTAAACTATCAAACATTCTGTTTCTTGTAAACAGTCGTGCGTTGGAGGTGACACACATTTCTTTTTATTCTCAACGATTGTAGAATTAGCCTGTTCATCCCTGAACGACTTAACTGCTTTATCTCTAAATAGACAAGGCCATCAGAGAGTGGGTCGCTACTAGGAATATAAATAAAAATTATATCCGAAATGTAACAAAAAATGGCTATTACTTATTCCTTTGAGACAAGACTTCAAAGCTCTCTTTTTTCGCTTGGCTAACTAAATCACATTTATTTGATTTTTAAATGCCGTCTTTGATATAATTCTCTTTGTTTTTATCCTGGTTCCATTGTTTACTTAAGTATTATTACTTTGAATGGTATAATATTACCTATTTTTAGGCTCTTAGTATTATTATGGGCGATTTCACCAACGTCACCTAAGTTTAAGGGATCCCATAAGCATGATTAGGGGCTGTTAGGGGACAGTTTCTGTTTCACCGACAGTTAGGGGTCACCTAAATGTTAAAATGCCACCTAAATATAGATACTAGAAATACTGGCTCTGACGATGGTAAAACGAAATTTAATTTAAGGGCTAGTTTAGGGGAACTTTTAAGCTAGGGATCCCATATGTAGGTGGTAGCTTATGGGATGTTGGTGAAATCGGGCTTTAATGTGTGTAGTGGAAGTGTATTTGACTATTCATTGTCTAGGAAGGTGTTAAAAACTAGATAAAGTGATAAGACAGTTATACACGGGATACGCTCGTTTAAAAATAATTCAAGCCGGGTTCAAAGCTCGGCTTTGCGTGGTGGACTATGACCTGATCCCCCTCACAGTGGGGAGACGCCCTTGCTCAGTAGTTGTATGTTAAAAGGGCTAAATTGTTATTAATTACTAGTGGCTCACCCTCGTTTATGCCTCTAGAAAAACAAAAGTAAATCTATGCCTCGGGAACCGCATATTTTTTCGGGATAGAAAGTAGCCTACGTATTATTCCAGGCCGTCCAGACTCCAGACCGACCACCCAGATCTGTTCAGCCGTTCTGGCGTGATTGAGTAACAAACATCTATCCATTCAGACTTTCTCATTTATATAGGTAAGCGTAAGATTGTTGCTTAATAAAGAGACAAGTAAAAGTTCCATATTATTATATGTACGAGTATATGTAGTATAATTTAAATGTCCTTCTATTTAAATTATTCTAATGTCTAGATAGAGTTAGTAGGCAATCGTTAATAGTTTTATGTTTTCACGTCCTTGGCCTCTAACTTTTATGAAATTCATCTAACCGCTTTTCCAAGTTTCAATGATGAAACACGCTTAATTATTACCGAGTAACTTTATAAACGAAAGTTGTATAGCACTTGTTTTGTAATTATTTAATGTTCAACTCTTGGGGTTTGGGAAAAAAAATACATGAAATAAATATATTATATAGTAGCGACTCACCCTCGCTTCGCTCGGGTTCGCCCCTAGGTTGATTCCTCAAACAAACTTTAATCCCGACTTTCACCTCTTTAAGGGATGATTTCCGGGATTAAACGTATCCTATGTCCTTACCAGGATCTCAAACTATCTTCTTACCACGTTTCATCTAAATCGGTTCAGTAGTTTTCAGGAACCTATTCGGTACAAACAAATAAACAAAAAATCAAATCTCTTTATAATATTGGTATAGACATTAGAGTAGTAACTTACGACGACATTATTGCGAGTGTACCTTAATAGACGGATATATGCTATTGCAGACTTTTGTGTAGGCCTTTTTAAGACCAACAATTTTTTACTACATTTTATGATGTATATATCTCTTAAGATTTAGCCACAGTTAGCCATGCACTAAGGACGACTCGACTGACCCAGTTATTGGGTTTTCCCGTGGGAATGAAAGATTGTCCTGTAGTAAATTGTAAAAGGTATTCTAAATGTCGACTCAAGCAATAAGTTATCACTACACAAAATCAAGTTAAAATCAAATAACTTAAGAATACTATAAAATATATTATCTTGCATATTTTACTCTCTTAGTTCCACAGTCACGGAATATGATCGCGATTAATCAAAAAAACGGTTTAAACCTTTACCTTTAGATCGTGCAACGGATTAAAATATTTTTAATTGAGACGTAATAGCCTATACAGTAAAAAGTCTATTGAAATAGATAAAACCGTAATCTTTATAGTTTCGTCGTATATTACGTATGCCTCCAACATTTTACAAGTTGATTATTTTTAGTTGTATAACTGTAATTTGAAGCGTTTTATAATGATATAAAAATTATAAATACTAAAAAAACCGACTTCAAACAAAAGCACTAAAAAGTAAAAAATAACTGATTGGTAGTTTTCATTTACTATACATACCTAATCAAATATTTTCGAAGTCGGTGTGCTTTGCTTTGTATGGGCTGGCACCGATTTCGAAAATATTTGATTAGGTATGTATTTAATAGGTAGGCTTTAATTACTTAGCCAAAGCACACCGACTTCGAAAATATTTGATTAGGTATGTATAGTAAATGAAAACTACCAATCAGTTATTTTTTACTTTTTAGTGCTTTTGTTTGAAGTCGGTTTTTATTTTTTTGTTAAAAAGTTTTTATTTTTCCCTTTTTAGTGTAGACAGTAGTAGCAAAGTAAGAATTCTAACGTGTAAGGCTAGTCAAATCAAACAAAACAAGCCCAAACTCAAAGTATCTACTATTAGCCATTGAAGAGTTCCACCTATCCACCTTCTGGCCTTACCATTAGATCAGGTCAACAATACCGAACCACTGTACTATCAACGGAAATAGAAACACTTGCAAAGTTTCAAGACAATATGACAATAAGAAGTAGGTTAAATTCATCATTAGCTATTTTTCCACCCTTAGGGGTGGTATTTTTTTTTGAAATTTAAATGGGACCAATCTGGAAGTATACACTTTCAAACAACATAAAAATTGTTGAAATCGGTTAATAAATGACGGAGTTCTGAGGTAGCAAACATAAAAAAAAATACAGTCGATTTGAGAACCTCCTCCATTTTGAAGTCGGTTGAAAATAGCAGCTACACCCACTACATGTAATTGAGGGGTGAAATGAAATTCTTAAACGTGTAATTGTGTGGGGTAATTTTGGACAGGCTTGTGAAATCCATACTTCCATACTACTAAATCTGTTTTTGTGTTTGTTTGTTTGTTTGTTTGTTTGTTTGTTTGTTTGTTTGTTTGTTACGGAACTCGAATTGTCGCATCAGCTTTGCTCTACAAACCTCGCGCGGCGACGACAAGACAAGGTCAGGCGCAAGTGCAAGCGCAGCAGCCACCTACATTTCATCAATGCCAATGTCACAACTTACTACAATAATGTAGTATAAAAGGCATTACTTGGCTGCATCTTCGCTGATTTGATCTAACATCGATCTACAGTCATTTTAGTAATAAGAACTTCTAGTTAGTAAATTAATTTTTAGTTAAATTGCATTTCTTTACATCCCCTGGCTGCCTCCAAAACATAACTTGTTTGTCTTTCTTTCACGTCAAAACCGAGAGACGGATTGAGATAGTTGGAGGGCTGGAGAGTAACATAGGCTACTTTTAACCGCAGGAGATAATCTTACTCCCACGGGAAAATACGTTATAATACAACCCAAAAAATATTTATGATCAGAATTATTTGAAACTTGGTAAAAATGCTCTTCAATAGAATTAAATAAATACGTGTTTTAGCTTTTTTCGAAATTCATCCGATAAGAGGGTAAATAGGGGATAAAAGTTTGTATAAAACCTATTTTTTTAGAGTTTTTCTGTAGTTTTAGCGGAAACGAAGCCGCGGGTTCTGCTAGTGATATATAGGTATACAATATAAGTAATATGTATATTATACTACACAACTTTAATAGGGAGAGAACTTCTTAACATAGCGTCCACACCAAAAATCTGAGACAAAAAAAGAATAACGAAAGAGAAGGAGTTCGCCAACCCACACTTGGCCAGCGCGGCGGGCTATGCCCTGACCCCCCTCGTATTGAAGGGAGGTCCGGTCAATGGGATGTTAATAAAAAAATAAAAAGCTCAATACTAAATGCTTACCTCTCCATAGTCTGGTGTGCGAACCACATTGGGTGGAGCTTTAGTGATCACCCGTCCGTACGCTTCTCGAGGGATAGACGGGTACTGGTATCGGAACCTGTAACAAAATGTCACGTCGAATATACTGTGGTTTATATTTGCCTATGCATTTTATTATTTAACTTTATATACTAATTGTAGGACGTGGTTATGGACGCATCTATATGTATAATATATATCAATAAAAATAAAATGTTGTTGGTAAGCGTGTCATGAGATCGGTTGGACCGATTTAGTTGTTTTTTTTTAATAAATGTAATACTTTGAATAAGGTTTTTGTAAAACTTACCCGGAAAATTTAACAACTGAAAGTGCTTTTTTATATGACTTTTTTAAACTCAAAGATTATAAACTATTCAAATTAGTATAAGACAGCTAGTATACGAAATAATTTAAGTTATATAACTATTAAAGATAAAATCCATATGCGTGAGCGCGACGAAGTCCTAACTTATATTTTTGAATGTTTTCTGTTGTTAATTTGGACTTACATGGGTTCAAAAGAAATAGTCTATTGAATAATTATGTGTGACCATTTTCAAGTGAATCCTCTTTATTACTAGCATACAAATTAATAACTAAAAATATATACAAATTAATGCACAAACAAAATATGTATGAAAATAACATATAGGTATAAGTGTTTATGATTATATCTAATATTCATACGAAGTATAATATATATATAAATATATATATATATATATATATATATATATATATATATATATACTCGGAGATGATATAAACTAAGTACGTTATTTAACGCTTTCATATATGTATTTATAATTTTTTATTAGCGATAGGAATCGTAGATTATAATCGTAGATAATTTAAATTTGACTTAATATTTATTAATTTAGCAGTCCAGTAGAAGATTTTTTTAATATTAAAGGAGTGTAGATGCTGAGATGTCTTATTAATTATACAGTTTGAGTTTATTATTCAACGCGCTAACTTACGATGCGAAAGGAATTTATCCTTACGTCTTAATTATTTTATCTAAATCATAGATGAAATGTAATAAACATTAATATTATCAAATATGATTATCATCTTGCTAGTATTATTACACTAGCCAGTAGGTATTCGTAATTTTTCGAGTATATTTTCTTCACAATTGTAAAATATAGTATAACTTAATCCTTACTCGTAAGCCTTTAAAATAGACCCTACTAAAATACTGCTTAATGAATGAATGTAGGAATGAAGTTCGCCAAAATTTCATGTGAAGCTGGAAATTTGGGGGTTCAGTTTCAGTTCCAGTTCGTTGATATTAGGTCTTATCGTACTTGTAGAAGTCTGCACTCAGCACACAATTTTTTTTGAGGTTTAGTTGACAAGTTATGGGTTTCTAAAGAGTAAAAGGAAGCTGTAGGTATTTCAAATTTAACTAATTTGCAATAAGTAATTAATGCTAATCTAAAAAGAGTGGTTTGTATTTCAAAATTGAAATTAAATAAGAAATTCTCTAAAAAACCGGAAGTAAATATTTCACATTTAAATTTTTTATATGAATGGCCAAAATGTGGACAGACGGATAAACAATGAAAAAACCATACAAGAGTTATAAGTTAGTTTAATTCTTTGATATAACTAAAGTCTAATAAGGTATCTAACAAAAACTAGCTTAATTTATTAATAAAAAAAGAACCTGAAAAAAATATTGCTAGTGCTGCGCTAGTCGGCTTTAACAAATATACTACGAACATTTCGGCACAATGCGAGCGCTACAATAGAATAATCTAGACGCGTTGAATTGAATTGCAATTTGCAATGTACTACAGTAATGCAATCGGATTAAATATATCTATTATGTTTAAAATCTCTTAGTATTATACTATAATAATATAATATAATAATATTACTGTATTGTTTTCACTATATATATACAGTACAAGCGACTATCTTTGCGATCTCATCTAAGCGATCCTGCGACGCCCCATTAAGCCGGGGGAAGGCTTTGTTGGGTTTTAGTGGGTAGTACTTACTGGCTTTGCCGGTGAGTCCCACACCTCGTGCGTAAATGCATTTCCCAACGTTAAAAAAAAAGGTTTAAGTAGGTAGTTCTGATTATTTTTTGCCGGTAAGTCCTATACATAATATATATATATATATATATATATATTTATATACGAGTATATAAATGAAATGCATTTCATGATGTTTTAACAATAAATTCGAGTATCTAACTATTCCACGCTGAAGTCATACAATTTCCTGTCTTGCATACATAATAAACTATTTTAAATTATTCAAGAGTATATAGGAAAAGTGGTTCGCGTTCTATAAAGTATACGAGTATATACGGGAATGTGGGTGCTTCTCAGTAAATATTCACCTACGTAGCGTCGGCAAGGAGACCTAATAAGTTACGATTTAAATGAATATTATATTTTAAACGTTGGCCTTTTCTCTACCCAATCGAACCCACGTATTCAATTTATTATTTTATCCTTAGAATATTCGTGTTCAAAGAATTGTTGTATGGTAGATCATATTTGGTACTTGAAAAGAATTATATATGCTAATTTTAGTTTTAATGTTATAGGTTTCTTAGTTTTGTTTAGCTCAAGTTCCTTTAGAAATGGATATAAATGGTTCTAAAATATTTTTTAGCACGTGTAAATTGTAAAATACACTGGGAAGGAATATAATATTATTGTAACTTACAATGTTGTGTCTTGTTGGTTTAGCTTATCAAAACTCTTCAACTAAATAACAAAGGAAGATTTTTATGAAGCTCTCTTTGGTAGAATTCGACTAAGTCCTAAGGGATAACATAAACAAAGTAAAACAATATTGCCATCAAAACAATAACACCTTTCAGACAATCTAGCGGTTTCTCAGTTGTTATAGATTCCAGTGATTATCGATTTACAACATTTGTTAGACCTTGTCTCAGGAATTTTGGCGTTCTCAGATCTCATGGTTCTCATAAGAAACAAAATAATTTCTTGCAAGGAATACTAGAATAGCATACGTTAGCTTCATATTCATTCACATTTTAAACTTTCATGCCAGACTACTATTATTATCAAAGCGAAAATTTGTATGTGTGCGTGTTTGTTACTTCTTCACTAAGAAACAGATGGCTACTATTAGGTATCTAGGGACTTACTTGAGTAAAACGGGGTTAAGTCGTAAGTTACTATATCTAATACCTTTAAACTAGCAATTCTTGTATATTAGGTACTTATTTATTTATATATACCGGCGATCTCGGAAACGGTTCTTACGATTTCGCTGAAATTTTGTATGTGGTGGGTTTCGGGGGCGAAAAATCGATCTAGATTAGTCATATGTCTGGAAAAAAAGAACTTCGAATTTCGGATTTTTATGCGGTTTTCTTTCGCATTATTCTACGCAAAATATGATCGGTAATTTCGCACGCTCGGGCATAAGCGTGGTCAAGCGGCCAAGAACACATTACACATGGACATTAGCAATCACAGGTGTCCGGGTACGAATCCCGGTCGGATACAAAGTTTTTACTTTTGTTCTTTGTTTTTGTATTTATTCAAGTTTTTAGCTATATGTTATATAGATTTTCGTCTAAAAATACGATATAACAAAAAAGAACTCCGAGCGAAGCTCGGTCGCCCAGGTACTGAAATATTCTTTGTAAACGTACCCAACTTAATTCACGGCTATGAACAAAAAAAAAGCACTAAAATATTAGGCTTACGCGGTGAACCCACGCGTTGAACCCACGACCCTTAAAACAAAAAGTCTATTAAGTTTCACATCGCTTATAAAACATCAAAAATATGGTATACATTTACATATTTTATTTGCAAACAGTATTTCTGAGATCAGTTTTCATAAACAATACAGGTGTTGTGGGTGGGTCGTCATTTATGTGACAAAGTAACGCAAGAGGAAGGAATACGAGCGCGAACAGAGATCTTATTATGTGAGATGATATACGAGTGTGGCGTAACTTAACACCCAAACGGAAAGTAAACTTAATGTAGCTATTAGCTTTTGTTATTCTTTGCAATTGGGCTATTAAAAAATAAGATTTTGAATTTGTATTTTTAATAGTATAAATATGAAAGTTTGTGAGTATGGATGTCTGTAACTCTTTCACGCCAGAACGGTTGAACGGATCTGGATGAAATTTGGCACAGAGATAGATTATAGTCTGAAATAACACAGACTACTTTTTATCTCGGAAAAATGTATGATTCCCGTGGGATAGGTTTGTTTTTATTTTTGTAGCAAAATAAATTTATGAAACTAGTGATTTACACCCGTTTCGTTCGGGTACATCTTTAGGTGCCTAAAAGTTGCCTATGTGGTTTTCCATATCATATCCAATCTGTGTACTCATCCAAATCCGTCCAGCCGTTTCATCGTGACAGAGTAACAAACATACACACTTTCTCATTTATAATATTAGTCCGATTTCGGAAATCTATTCTACTAGGACATTTTTTAATATTTTCTTTTTGAGTTTTTATCGAGACTAGAATAGATTTTAGTATTTTTAATGAAGTTTTAATATTTACTGTTTTAGAAGAATACATGAAATGTATTTTAAAGAAGTATGCTTAATATAATATAAAATGAATGTAAATTTAACATTACATAAAATAAATGTAAATGTGTAAATGTAAATAAATGTATTTTGACAAAACTTGCACGTAATGTATGACTTCAGATAAAAATAATATAAGAATACAAAAGTAAAAATGAATTCTTAAAAATTATTATGCTACGCCTCGTAGACTGCAGACGTGCGTAGCGCTATGCAATATTGAAACAGTCATTTTTAGCTTATCTTGTTATACAAAGGATGTTTAATGTTGGCATTTTTATATAAAGATTTATTTCTAAAATGTCGTTCGTATTTGCTTGGTTTTCATGCAATATTTAAACTAAAATTGATTTGGGATTCCAAAATGTATAAATTGGACAGAAAGTAAGTAACAAATACTTTAAATTCTTTTTCTTATTCTTGTATTTGTTACTTTTTTATGTTATCAGTTATTCATTTGACGAAGATTTTTTTATATACTTTTTAATTTTAACATTAGATTTAGTAACATAATAGAATAAGTTAACAACTATTATATATTGTTTTGTGTACACACAAACACAAAACTGGATATATTATATATTTCTAAAGTAAAAACAAAATCTAATCCACTTATTTTTAGTTCGATATTACTCAATAGATATTATTTATATTAAAATCTATATTTTATTTACTTACATATTATTCTATTTCTAATAAATTGAATTAAATGTATTTTTTCTTACCTCGGAGCAGCACGCGGCATAGCAGTGTACACGGGCCACTCGTTGTACATGAGCGGGTCACGGTAAGACAGCGGTTCGTTTATCAGTTCGGGAGCTCTGGCTTGTCGTTTAGAGAACCTGTACATATAAAGAATATTATATTTTTCCTTTGTATTATCTTCTCTTTCCTTTTATTTGCTATCTGATTATTTTATATTTGACTATATAAGGAATAGTATAAATATATGTATGTATGTATGTATATGTAGCATATCCTTTATGTATGGTTTGGTTAATGAGGACGATATGGGGTGTATACGATTTGGCCCCGAGGTCGACGGATACGTACAACAAGAAAATGCAGGCGTACAATAATATGAATGAACAGGAGAAGGAGGAGATGAGAAGGTTAGATTTTTTTTTTAATGAAATTAGCGATTCGCCCTCGCTCCGCTCGGGTTCGCCCCTTGGTACGTTTTAACGGTTAGTATAGATTTCTCAGAGATGAAATATTTTCCTGCAGTAAAAAGTATTCTATATGTTGACCCGGATAACCAGCTATCATCACACCAAATTTCATCAAAATCTATCCAGTCGTTTTCTCATAATGCGTCCCCAGGTAGACAGACAGATAAAAATTCTAAAAACTTTAGATTCGGCCTCTGTATCGATAATATAATTACTATTTCAATAAGTTTTTCTAAAAATATCTAATTTATAAGAGATTCGGCTCGATTTAATTCGAGAATTTTATTATATGTATAGATTGCAGAATTTGTCTAGATGTAGCTTTTCTACATTTTAAGGCAACGTAATCATAGCTAAATAAATTATTAAATAACTATCGACGCATCCCTAGCAACGTTTTTAACGGTTTGTATGGAATAGATAGACTGCATATTATATAAATAGGTATGATGAGTTCTTGTGGATTTTATTATAACGTGTTTTCCCGTGGGAATAAGATAATCTTTCGCGGTAAAAAAATTATCTCCAGACAAAAAATCACACCAATCCGTCAATGTTTTTCAACGTGAAAGAAGGACAAACAAACACACATTTACATATTATAATATTAGTATATTACTAAATCAAGCGTATTACTCATAGTCTAGTCAATAAGTTCAAAAACATGTTAAATAGAAATAAAGCTTCTAAAAATAGTATGTGCGATAGCTCATTCGATTTGAAATGACGTCAAAAATACCAAAAAAGCCTTTTTTAATCTTATTTTGTTAATAACAATCGCAATTATTTTATGTACTAATAATAATAAACCCATCAAAAACATGTTTTTGACGTCATTCCGAATCGAATGAGCTATCGCACATATTTTTAGAAGCTTTATTTCTATTTAACACGTTTTTGAACTTGTTGACTAGACTACCAATTCAAAAGGGGAAAATGTGTGGAATTGTGTGGTATGCGACTCGACTACTTATTATGTTGTGTTGCAACTCGACTTTTAAATAAGCATCTGGTTGAAATTGTCGCCGGCTTTTCTTAGCAGAAACGTTCACAAGCCGACGGTGGCTTTCTCACAGACTAACTCGCTGGCTCCTTTTACATTAAGTTGACATAAAAAAGTTTATTCTAAAAGCTGATCGAGTACTAGTCAGTAGTGCCCAATATTGTGATTTGTTTTAACTATATTTGCAATTAATTTTTTGTTTTGTAAGCTTTCCTCATATCAGAATTAAAATGGTAAGTCTTTTATTGCTAATTGATCACAATAAAATGACGATGTCCTAAATTGACGATTCCTTAGCTGGTTGATTTATTCCCAAATGTTTGAAATAAACTGTTTTAATTTCGATAATATCCTTTTTTTTATTTTTCATCATTAATTAGACCTGGTTGTAAACATGTATCGGCATATACATATATTTAGGAAACAATGCACTCGATGCTACAGTGTATCAAAATTCATATAACATGCGGTCACTAGAATGGAAGACATGATTATAGAAATCCTTATAGGAATCAAGGGGTCATAGTGACGTTTTCTACCTTTAATCATGCTGCTAATAATGAAACAATATACGTTTTGCAAACCCCTACATAAGTTTTAAAATAAGATGCATTTATAAAATATAAAAGTATAAGTTAATATTTAAACACTATATTTTTTATTCTTATTAGAAAAAAAAACTAGAAGAAATATCTAAATTAATATACAGCACCTTAACTTTGAGGTGTTGAAGCTCAAGCTCAAGTACAGTATATTTTTTATCTAATTTTCTGTTAAGCGATTGTACTTTAATACCGTTTTTTGTAGAGCATTTACGTTATATAATTAAATTATTTCAATATTGCTTCTATTACTGCATAAGTATTTTTAGATAAGATAATTAATATGAATAAAGTATTGAATTAGGTTAGCTCTTATCATATTACTTACATATTAGTTCTTAGAAGCCTCAGTTTTTTCATTTTATCAAAGTTTAAGAATCATTGATCGACTTTGATATGCGCAGTTAAGTACGTATGTCAATATGTACTTAGTAACATAAAAGTTAAACATATAAATAAGATTTTTTATTTTTATACATATTTATAGATGTGCTAGTATTCCAATAATGAAGTAAAATTCCATTAATGAATCTCATTAGTAACAAAATTCAACTTGTTGTTGACACGAAAACTTTTTATGCTTTTCGGCTGCTTAAAACTCTTCTTCTATATGAATAAAAATGAATGTTGCTAAGCGCAAAACTCGATAACGGCTGGACTATTTAGCCTAATTTTTTTTTGCAAATATTCGCCAAAATCCGGGGAAGGTTCTTATGAAGAGAAAAATTAGAAAAAAATCACTATAATTATGGATGCAACCTTAAAATTAATATAAATTACTTGAATGCATTTGTATACTTGACACTTTCTATTTCTACGATATACAATTTGACTTTATTTGTTTGTTTGTCCTTTTTTCACGTCGAAATAAAGTGCCAGATTATCGTGTTTTTTGTATGAAGATAGAGGGCTGGAGAGTGACATAGGCTACTTTTTACCATGGGAGATTATTTTGTTCCTACGGGAAAACAAGTATTTATTCCACGCTAACCGTCAAAACGTATATAGGGACAAACTTGAGCGAAACGAGAATGAGTCGCTAGTACTCAATAAATTTCGATATTTACGTAAGTCAACTAAAACTATACATATATTGTATTAGAGACCTATTTCTTTAAAACTTTAGAATATATATGCGGAACACTCTAAGAAAAATATTTTATGCAAGCACATTACTTTAAAAGAAATTGAAAGATCACATATTTTAGAAGACTGCCAACGAATTTTAAGCCACCATTTTACTTATATTCTGATGGGGATGAATTTGCCTTTTTCTCCCGACAGATGTCGCGATAACTATAGCCCTCAATATAAAGTAATTCTCTATAGCGTGGATGTTTTTTTTTCATTTTATTTAAAATTGAATTAAAATGATAAATTGTGCAGTACCAGGCTGCAAAGAGTGAGAAAGAGAAATGGATATCATTTGTTCCCAGAAGAGAAAAACTAAAGAAATAGTGGGCAATAAAACAATCAAAATTGGCGAAATCACATTCTTTATATTTAAGTCTATGTGGATATAATTTTAAAGAAAGTGATATTAAATCGGCTACAGGTGATTCTTTTTAATTGTAACTTTTATACATATTAATTGTAGAGTTTTATACAAACTTTCATCCTCCATTTTACCCCCTTTTGGGATTGAATTGCGAAAAATCTAAAACAAGTGTTTATTTAATTATATTGAAGAGCATTAATATCAAGTTTCAAGTAATTCTGATCAAAAATAATAAAATATTAAAATTTATCAAAAAATTTAAAATATACGACAGACATTAAGTTTCTGTACAGTTCATTTGACTTTTACTTCATCTCATCATTCTCATGGTTCATGTAACTACGATTGTGAGATTATCTTATTATATAAGCATCATTAGCTCCACGTTGAAATTCTGACATTTTATAACCTTTAAAATGGAAATGGCTGAAGAGTAGCGGTTCATTTCACATATTGTATATAGTACTAGCGATTTACCCTCGCTCCGCTCGGGTTCGGCCCTAGGTAGATTTTAATGGTTAGTATAGATTTCTCAGAGATGAGATATTTTCCCGCAGTAAAAAGTATCCTATTTATTGACCCGGATAATCAGGTATCATCATACCAAATTTCATCAAAATCTATCCAGTGGTTTCCACGTGATGCATTTCCACAGACAGACAGACAAAAATTCTTTACATATAATATAGATTCGGACTCTGTATCGATATTTAATGTACAAATTCGAATCGGTTAGAGTTTTATTATATGTATAGATAAGTATTTTATGTATTAAAGACTCAATTTTTAAACATTTATATCGATTACGGTTAAAGTAAAAGACGAAGTTGTTGATAATATGAAAGAACAAGTTAGTATTAATATTGTTTTAGTTGTATTTTGCGAATATGAAACACGCGAAATGATATATATTTGATAAAAACAATATATTCGAGTATTAACCGGGCAAATCTGCTTGCAATATATAGAGAGACAAAAATATTATTTTTTTATTCTAAAAGTTATGTTTAAATTTTCCTCCTTGCTTTTCTATAATTTTTCATTTTGTTCCTTCCAACTGGTAAAGAGAAATTTGAAAAATATTATAATCTTGCCATTAATTTTCGTTGCGTATTAAATCATAATTTGTTCTGAACCTGTGGTGTCGCGCTTCAGCTATAATTTTGTTCGTTCTCCGCAAGCAAGGTCTGTATTTGCGGTTTCTATTACTGTGTAGCTGATATATACATAACAATTATACAGCATTAAATTATTATATTTTACTGTGCACCAGTTTAATGAAGAGTCGTAGTCCTAAGAAAAAAGAAACTACCTAAGAGACTAAAATTAATTTTTAACTTTTTTTTTAAAAGAAGTTATAAAGTACAATAATTCTCTATAATTAGCTTGGAAGTATTTACATAAATTTTAATTTGTTATCTTCTGTAAAATCATTTACTGTGTCTTACCTACATCACGTAAACCTTCTTTTTTAATTTTTTTAATGTTTTACGCACGTAGTGTACCCTGTGTCATTTTACACTAAATCATGACGAGTAAGTCATTAGTTTTAATAAAATATTCTATA